AAACGACAATCTAAAATAGGCGTTTTTAGCCCAAAAAAAAAAACGACAATCTAAAATAGGCGTTTTTAGCCCAAAAAAAAAAACGACAATCTAAAATAGGCGTTTTTAGCCCAAAAAAAAAAACGACAATCTAAAATAGGCGTTTTTAGCCCAAAAAAAAAAACGACAATCTAAAATAGGCGTTTTTAGCCCAAAAAAAAAAACGACAATCTAAAATAGGCGTTTTTAGCCCAAAAAAAAAAACGACAATCTAAAATAGGCGTTTTTAGCCCAAAAAAAAAAACGACAATCTAAAATAGGCGTTTTTAGCCCAAAAAAAAAAACGACAATCTAAAATAGGCGTTTTTAGCCCAAAAAAAAAAACGACAATCTAAAATAGGCGTTTTTAGCCCAAAAAAAAAAACGACAATCTAAAATAGGCGTTTTTAGCCCAAAAAAAAAAACGACAATCTAAAATAGGCGTTTTTAGCCCAAAAAAAAAAACGACAATCTAAAATAGGCGTTTTTAGCCCAAAAAAAAAAACGACAATCTAAAATAGGCGTTTTTAGCCCAAAAAAAAAAACGACAATCTAAAATAGGCGTTTTTAGCCCAAAAAAAAAAACGACAATCTAAAATAGGCGTTTTTAGCCCAAAAAAAAAAACGACAATCTAAAATAGGCGTTTTTAGCCCAAAAAAAAAAACGACAATCTAAAATAGGCGTTTTTAGCCCAAAAAAAAAAACGACAATCTAAAATAGGCGTTTTTAGCCCAAAAAAAAAAACGACAATCTAAAATAGGCGTTTTTAGCCCAAAAAAAAAAACGACAATCTAAAATAGGCGTTTTTAGCCCAAAAAAAAAAACGACAATCTAAAATAGGCGTTTTTAGCCCAAAAAAAAAAACGACAATCTAAAATAGGCGTTTTTAGCCCAAAAAAAAAAACGACAATCTAAAATAGGCGTTTTTAGCCCAAAAAAAAAAACGACAATCTAAAATAGGCGTTTTTAGCCCAAAAAAAAAAACGACAATCTAAAATAGGCGTTTTTAGCCCAAAAAAAAAAACGACAATCTAAAATAGGCGTTTTTAGCCCAAAAAAAAAAACGACAATCTAAAATAGGCGTTTTTAGCCCAAAAAAAAAAACGACAATCTAAAATAGGCGTTTTTAGCCCAAAAAAAAAAACGACAATCTAAAATAGGCGTTTTTAGCCCAAAAAAAAAAACGACAATCTAAAATAGGCGTTTTTAGCCCAAAAAAAAAAACGACAATCTAAAATAGGCGTTTTTAGCCCAAAAAAAAAAACGACAATCTAAAATAGGCGTTTTTAGCCCAAAAAAAAAAACGACAATCTAAAATAGGCGTTTTTAGCCCAAAAAAAAAAACGACAATCTAAAATAGGCGTTTTTAGCCCAAAAAAAAAAACGACAATCTAAAATAGGCGTTTTTAGCCCAAAAAAAAAAACGACAATCTAAAATAGGCGTTTTTAGCCCAAAAAAAAAAACGACAATCTAAAATAGGCGTTTTTAGCCCAAAAAAAAAAACGACAATCTAAAATAGGCGTTTTTAGCCCAAAAAAAAAAACGACAATCTAAAATAGGCGTTTTTAGCCCAAAAAAAAAAACGACAATCTAAAATAGGCGTTTTTAGCCCAAAAAAAAAAACGACAATCTAAAATAGGCGTTTTTAGCCCAAAAAAAAAAACGACAATCTAAAATAGGCGTTTTTAGCCCAAAAAAAAAAACGACAATCTAAAATAGGCGTTTTTAGCCCAAAAAAAAAAACGACAATCTAAAATAGGCGTTTTTAGCCCAAAAAAAAAAACGACAATCTAAAATAGGCGTTTTTAGCCCAAAAAAAAAAACGACAATCTAAAATAGGCGTTTTTAGCCCAAAAAAAAAAACGACAATCTAAAATAGGCGTTTTTAGCCCAAAAAAAAAAACGACAATCTAAAATAGGCGTTTTTAGCCCAAAAAAAAAAACGACAATCTAAAATAGGCGTTTTTAGCCCAAAAAAAAAAACGACAATCTAAAATAGGCGTTTTTAGCCCAAAAAAAAAAACGACAATCTAAAATAGGCGTTTTTAGCCCAAAAAAAAAAACGACAATCTAAAATAGGCGTTTTTAGCCCAAAAAAAAAAACGACAATCTAAAATAGGCGTTTTTAGCCCAAAAAAAAAACAACCATGTAAAGTAAGGCGTTTTTTTAACCGAAAGAAACGACCATGTATATATAGTAAGGCGTTTTTAGCCAAAAAAAAAAAAATTATAAACATCTTTTGTATTTATAAAAAAAAACATCCCATGCGATTACTTTGCAACACTTAACATCATCATCATCTGTTATAAATATTTATATATTCACAAACATTTGAAAAATAGAAAAGAAGATATCAAAATAAAGGAGACAACATCAAATTGTTACGCGTGCTGGCACAATACATTTCTTTTTCAAAAGGAATTTTTTTTTTTTTTTTGTTACAGCGTTCCTATCATGCACCATTAGAGGAAGTACAGGATCGTGCACGTGGGGCAGAACATGCACGTCTACCTTCTTGGTTGTGTGCTTTTAACAAAAAAAAAAAAAAAAAATTTTTTTTTTTTTTTTTGTTTGTTTCCTCCCCCAACCCAAAACTTTCGCATGCCTCTGAAAGATGTCGCGGTGGACGTTGGAAAATTAGGTGGCACTGTCCACACGAGCTCTCGAGATAAATCGAGGCGCGCATACGACAGAGACGCTGATTATGGTCACCTCTTTTGGCTCATCCCTGCAGATGTGCGCACGCACGCGCGCGCGCGCACACACACACACACACGCACACGCACACGCACACACCTTCCATGTGCTTGAAGGACAGCGACATCTGTAACAATGACTGCCTTCCCTGAGCCACACTGAAAAGAAGGACGTTGCGAAACTCCCACAATGAAGTCAAAGTGATACAAGAATACTGTAGTGAGTTTAAAAAAAAGTTGCAATGTTGTGAGATTTTAACTGAAATTTTGCCTGAATAAAGTTGTCATTTGTCGACAAAAAAAAACAAAAAAAAAAACGCTCATGAAAAAAGTTGAAATGTGAAGAGAAGAAACTTTTTGAAATATTCTGAAGCAATATTATTAAACAAAGTCATCCCAAGGCGAGAACAAAAGTTGAAATATGACGGAAATGAAGGTGCATTGTTTCGAGAAAAAAAAAATCCTGACACCAAATGACTTTTGTCTTAAAAGAAACCCCCACTCCCCCCCAACAAAAATCCTTCTTCTCGGTGTGGCCTTAACACTTCTTCATACAAATGCCACATTACATGAATTTTTGTGAAATCCGTGCAGTTCAATTCCCCAAAAAAATCATTGATTTTTTTTAACTTAAAAAATAAAGAAATAATCAATCTCCACCAAGGCAGCAGCAGACATTTGGCCCTTGACATTAAGTTGTCCCCCCACAACACTTGTGCTGATATACGATTAAGAATATCCACCATGTAAACATTATGAGACATCTTAAAAAAAAAAAAAACACATTTGATTCTATAGATCATCTGCATAGAGTTCCAATCAACGCGAGGAGGCCTCCCTGCTTGGGAGTGCTCATCACACACCAAAAATAAAAGCGCAAACACACACCTTACATAATGTGATGATGTCACTTTTTAAGGACAGGCAGGAATCATGAACAATGTTTGGTTTCGTTTTCTAGTTGAGACACGGTGCCGAAATTTGATGAGTGGAGGCTCCAAAGTCTTATCAACCAGACTTCAATCACAACATTAATAGAAGAATGGAATGGATGTTGTTCAGAGCAACTTGCGGGAAAGTTTCTTTTTAGAAAATGTTGGTACTAAAATGTGTATTTTTAATCCATCCTAGCTGCACTAATCAACTTGCAACCTATTTCAATGAGTAGCTTTAACCACCCCCCACACACACACTCAGTTTGGGTGACTTTTAACCCAGCCGGTTTTAAGAGTGTCACCATTGTCTTGACTGCTTATCAAGATTTTATGATGGCAGGAACACTTTTGTGTCATTCAGCTTTTAATTAGAAACCCAAACGTACATATGAAAAACAACATACGTGGCCTTGGCATTTCCAAAAAGGGGACTGCATCTCTTTGCTTCGTTTTCAGCACTTGGACACTGCAGTCAAATTTGACACAAGCAGTTGGCCAATTCATTTCTTTATTGTTCCCATTGGCGTTTTAAAAAATAGAACGGGGGAAAAAGATGGCAAGAATGAAGACCATGTAACCTTCACACTACTTTACACCTTCAACTGATTAGAAAAGGGGGTGGTTCAACTTACGGCCCAGAAGGTTCGATCCGACCCGCCATGCGATTCTAAAAAAAAAAACCCTAACTAAAACCTCAGAGGTTAGTTTTGTCATTGCATCGTATGATCTCATCATTTTAGTATGGCCTACGGGGAACTAAAAGGGCCCCTGATAGGAAAAAAGGATGCCCACCCCATCGAGGTCTTCCATTTTTCTTCCATGTCACTGGGTGTGATGGGGATCATGAGCCCTTTTAGCAGCGGTCCCACTTGACGGACGGACAATGACTTGTGCTTGTTGTCGTAAGAACAACCCACATCGACGTGTTTAGGCGTGGGGGTGGGGCTGGGGGGGCTTGGCACCTTCCACATGGAATGTTTACACTGGTTACAAAGACGGAGTAAACCACGACACGAGAAGCACGCTATGATCTTGGCTTTGTGTTGGTTTCACTCGCAGGCAACACACACTCTCCCACACACACACACACACACGCACGCGCGTATACATATATGTGCACTTGTCATCACAAAGACGGCGGGTGAACGAGACAGAAGGCATTGAGGGTGTCAGGCAGTGTGCTCTGGTCCACCATCTTACATCATGCCCCCCGAATATACTGGAACTTCGCGTATGACTCACGACGAGACTCAGAACTCTATCCGTATAAATATAATCTAGAAGGAAAAAAAAAAAGTAAACAAGTACAAACAGTTGCGCTTCAACGTGTTCATCTGCCGTGCTTTGCTTCCCTGGGATCTTTGTTTCCTTTTTGCCGACGCATATGAGCAACTATTTGTCAAGAAAAAAAAAAATGAAACCCTGTGCAGCCGAATGAGACGTGTGCAATGCCACGCGTGATATAAGAAGTGTCAGAAATGTTCCAGGACTGGTGTCGCATAAAAAAGAAAACTAGTTTTCCCCGTCGGTGTTTGTCAGACGATCAACCGGCACATCTACAAAGAGATCCTGAGTATGTGTGAGAGGAGGTGAGCATTGTGGTAGGGCAACGTGGCTGCTTACAACGCCCTGAGCATCTGACAGTTCCTTGCCGAGAAGGACTTTGCCATGCTATAGCATACTCCGGTGTATTTTTTTTTCCCTCTTTCCCACCCTCATCTGAGTCATCGAGGGGACCCGTTTTGAAGATGGCCGTGACGATGGAGCTGCAGGGGATCCCGGATGAATCCTCCAAGAGTTCATGGGGGTGTGGCACAGAAGGCTGGGAATGAGCATTAGACTCCAAGGGAATTACTTGAAGGGGAAAATTACTTGAAGCTTTGATTTGAACTTTGATTTGGTGCCTTGATATACGAGTCGAATTCATTCAATGACCGCGTGTGTAACTCAAAACCCCTCAAATTATCGTCCCCCATTAAAATGGATTGAAACGTCATTAATTTGTTCCAACCCCCTGCCCTCCAAACGTTTTTTGGTAAGGACTATTATTTGTATTTTACAAAAAAAAACCCATACAGTGATAACAGTAAGTTGCAGTAATATTTTCAGAGAGGAAAAATAATATGCGTGTTAGTTGCTCCACCGTTGGTGTTCAAATTGCTTTTAGGACGACAACACCACCACATACCGCAAATGTTATTAATTAGCCCATCTGTGACGTTTCTGTTAGTGTTAAGCTCTGTTTTGTTGTTGTTGTTTTTTTTTTAAATACACAACATGTAATTCTCAAAGTTTAGTTTGCAAATGGGAGTAGTGTCACACAGCCAGAAGTCAGTCCTGTTCACTATCTGTCAAACTGCATCTTCTTGTGGAAAGTTGAGCTCACTGCCACCACGCAGCGATTCTGTCAAATTTTTGCTTGCAGGTCAAAGTAAAACGAATCATCCGAACAACAGCTGCTACCTGAAAAACCTCGTAACTTGTACTTCAAGGGACCTCTGTCTATATTTTTCAACACCACTCCCGGAACTTCTCTGACACACATCGCAAACTCCACGATTTAACTCGACCACCAAAATGGCTGATGTCATCCATGTTAGACGCACCCCCATCGGAATGAATGAATTTACATCACCAAGCATGGCTGAGGGGAGGGAGGGGTGGAGCTGGGCTTAGCCGCGGCCTTCCTCGGCGGAGCGCTGGTCCGACTTGAGCTTGACAAACTCCTTGGCCACGTCGTCGTTGTTGCGCTGCGACAGGATGCGCAGCACAGTCAGGCCCGTCTCGTCCATGTGGATGCGCTTGCCCAAGGGCAGCCAGCAGGCCACGCTGCCCTTGGAGGCCACGTCCTTCAGCTGCAGCACGGCCATGCCCACCGTGCGGTCCTCGCGGGCAAAGCAGTAGTCCTTGACGCACACCTGCAGCTCGTAGCATTCGGGGCCCACCTCGCTGCTCAGCGTGCTAAAGGGAGAAAGAAAAAACAAAACAAAGTGCCTCAAGCACTGAGAAAGAAAAAGAAGTATTCCACACCAGTGATCTCATGAGCTCCCTCTAGTGGTACAGAAAAGAATAACTGCCTGATTCCAGTTCAGTTGTTTTTCACTTTTAAGAAGAATACATTTACATGAAATCTCTAAGAACTGTTTGGTTTAAAATATTGAGCTACAATTTCAGGCGTGCATGACATACATTGACATTGGACTCATTTAAGTGAAAAGTCATCGGAATTTAAAGATTCACTCCACTTGATCAAATGATGCAAGCACGAACGATGACGTGTTGCCACATGACAAGACCACTCACAAGGTGAAGGTTTCGTTGTATTTGGGAGCCCAGCTGTTGTTCTTGGATTTGGTGGCGTACTTGCGCTTCTTGTCGCTGAGGTGAGGGCCGATGATGAACACCTCCACGAACGGACGGAATATTCCTTGCGTCTGCCACCTCAGGTCGTTGGCGGCCACCACTGTCACGAAGGGAAAAACGGACGCGAGTGTCACCGACGTCAACAATTGCCCTTTTATGTACTGCCTCTTCAAAACACGGGTTCTCTACTGCATCTTCTGCATGCTCCTTGCGGGTGTTTTCATTTTCGGCCAATTCGCTGGCCGTACCCACGTAAGGCCATCTCCATGACGACCGTGTTCCTTCGACTTTAAGATAAATCTCAGTTTCACGAAAGCACAGAAAGCCTTGGGAGGAGAAAAGAAAACAATCAACCGTACCTTTCACGGTGACCTTGTGCTCGCCGGTGTTGGGGTGAGTAAAGATCTCCACATGGATGGACACCTCGCCCACCGCGTCGTCCACACCGGAGCCTGGTGGAACGGACACACGGTAAATAAAACACGGACGTACTCAGCACGAGCTGCCGAGCCCTCTGCTTGAAGTTTCCTTTTCCAAAGCTCGAGATCAGAATCAAAACTGCAGACCGTTTCCATATTGGGGGGGATGGACAAATATTTGTGATGAGCATGTGAGAGGAGGACTTTAAGCAGAGCGGTGTGGTGCTGAGGTGCAAATTAAAGCTGCTATGAGTGGGCCTGCTGTGGTGGGAAGGTGTTCCATAATCCAATTCTTCTTCTGAGAAATTGGCGAAAAAGGTTCCCACGTTTCAGCGGTGACTGGTCGAATGAACACTTTGTACTAGCGCCCACTCATAGCTGCAAGGTGTGTGTTAGGATGCAGGGTGGTCCCGAGAAGGTAACGTTCAAGGTAGCCCACCTTCAGGACATGCAACATGGGAAAGAAATGATCAGAAACGTGATCAGAGTCGACCATGTCTTCTTCCTGAGACATGGTGAAGCAGCATTTGGCTCATTGGCCAAGGTTATTCTTGCGCAATCCATTCCAAGCAAGACTTAATTGTCTCATTGTGACCAAACATTAACAAAATGACTACAATTAATATTCATAAGTTCAGTTTGTGAACAAAATAAAATACAAACATGAAAATGCTTAAAAAAAAACCCTCAAGAACCGAAACTAAATCTTAGGTTTATGAAGCTCACTAAAATTAATGCGTAAATGACCATTTTCGTTTTTGTCAATTAATATCATCAACATGGAATCTGGCAAGGGATGACAGACAATTACATCTCAAGTGTTTCACTTGCAGCATCAGCAGTACAATTCCAGAAGGATACGGCGACAGATGGATATTAATTTGCAATGTTTTAATTCGAGTCTTCACTCTGTCAACAGCAGCAGCCTGAGTGTGTGTGTGTGTGTTTGTTTTTTCAGCCGGCCACCCACTAAACAAGGTGTCAGTGGGAGTTTGACGGCAGAGTGTTCCTGGCATGTTGGGCTCTCGTCGGCTCTCCAGGAAGGATTATTGGATTGTCGCTCTCACTGCCAATTTCCGACGAGACCAAAGAGAGCAGCAGGAGTCCATCTGGACCGCTCGACTCGATGGGGAGTGGTGATAAGAGATCAAAAAGAAACTTTTCGGGCTATGTACAGCAAAAAGAGGGGCTTATGTGAACTCTTCCACTTGCTTTTTACTTATGGACCTTTTAAGGACTTTTGAGGGCCAATTTCGCCATTTTTAAGGACTTTTTCTCCATTCAGCAGGGCATTCACGGTGGATTTAATGAACAGAAAGCCACATATCACTGAGCTGGTGTTCAAATCATTGCTGCCAAAGGAAGGGCACATCTTTATTTTTAGGGGCAATCAGCTAACCCTTTATTTGACATACTGCATGTCAAATTGGCCCAAAATGACCCAAAGTGATCACGTGATCATCATTGGAACTGATCGGAGACGGCGGGAAAAGCAGAGTGGGAACCAGGCATGTAGCCCGACAGCGGGGTTTGAGGGGAAAGGCGCCAGGTGCATTTTCCGACAAAACTATGAATTGGAAAGGTGGGGAAAATGACATACACAAATGAAATGAACACCACAGGTTAAGGACCCGTGGGAACCCTGGATTGGGCTTAGGGCGTCTTGGGGTTTGGGCGATTGGGCAATTGGCGTTTGGGCAATTGGCGTTTGGGCGATTGGGGTCTGGGCGATTGGCGTTAGGGCGATTGGGGTTAGGGCGTTTGGGCGTTCAATAGACTTCATGGAATAGAAAATTTGAAAGATAAGTGGTAAATCTGCTGGTAGCTTCATGAGCCTCCATAAGAAACTTTGGACTTTTTTTCTCCAGTGACAAAAATTCTCCATATCTTTCATTCACCAAAGCCTCTTTTCAGCACTGTAAATACTCTTGCCTCAGACGATTGTGTGTGACTGAGAACAATTCAACGCACTGAACGCCGATCCTAAGCAACAGAAAACAGACTACCCGACTTGAGGGACTGCGAGCGAGATTTGTTCAGGCAGTGCAGAGAGGGGGGGCTGGGGATATGAACAGAGCACCCTTAACTGGTGTGTTTATGTGACGTCATCAGAAGCTCACACTAATAGCATTGCTGTCCATGAAACAACACTGCAGCTCTGCTCAACTTCGTGCTTCGACTTCGCTTGTGGAAACAGAAAATGGCAGATCTTCTGCCAAGTCGCTGCTGTTACTACTCATGGTAAATGAACTCAACTGTGGTGTAACAGTAGGACCGAAATATGAATAGCTTGATGAGAGACCCGTTTTCGGAAACTCACATTAAATTCACTTAGTTGTGGAATTTCACATATGATGAGACGGCAGACACCCCAAAAACACCAATATGTGTGCACAAGCAATTCCCGCACCCAAACTAAAACCCCTAAATGCTTTACCGCAATATGTCCCTTTTAAAAGGATGGTTTGACACACATCCGCTTAGTTGCCTCCTCTCACCCACGTGCACACACGCTCGCTTAGGCCTCTCACGCTGACACCATGCTGCATCAAGTCTGCTCTATACTACTGATGCCTTGCTATTATTATTGTCTGATGTCCGCGCATCATGCTTTATTATCTGCTCATACATACTTAGTATGTATTCAATGCAGCTCCATTCATACAGACATCAGCGCATACGTCGCATGCACGAATGCATAAAAGTTGTCAACGCTCGTGTTAATGCACTCAAAAGGCCGATGTAGGAAAAGAGAGGGGAAGTATATTCAGTCAATGCAGGCAGTGGAGAGTTTGGCGATACACGGAGGTGCAGGGGAAGTAAGGAATTGTGGGTGGACGCTTTCTAGTAGTTCTGGATTTCTCAAAACCTTTTGAACCTGCGAGCAACGTACCCCTCTCTGGGTAAACATCCTCACTAGCGGTGAACCGCACCCCCTTGCCGCCGAACACTGGCGCACAGATGGGGGCGGAAGGAGGGTGTGCACAGAGAAAGGAGAAAAAGAACATTAAAGACAAAAACGGGACTGCTGCTTTGACAGGCCATGTATTTGGTACCTGGGCCTTCAGTGGGAGCTTACCCGATTCAATCCACCTCTTAGTCAGAACACTATCGCGTCACGAAAATAAAAACCATCAATTCGATACACAAACTTAATATAACAGCGCACAACTGTCAGAATTAATATTTAGCTGATAACATTTAAATAAAATGCATGACACTCATCAGGAGCGCTAAATATTACCGTAATTTCCGCAGTATAAGGCACTTCGGAGTATAAGGCGCACGTTCAATGAATGGGCTATTTCAAAACTGTTTTCAAATGTAGGGCGCACCCCATTATAAGGTGCATAGAAGCTACAATAGGGGCTGCATTTGCATTATGCATCCACAAGATGGAGCTCCACTAAAGGGAATACAATACAGCTTTATTTATGTCGAGCTTTCACAACCGCTGCAGCTGTAACAAAGCGCTTTCCAGAACATTTAAAATACAACCACCAAGAAATCACAATATTGATCCATATACAAGGCGCATCGGATTATAAGGTGCAATGTCGGCTTTTGAGAAAATTGAATGCTCTTAGGTGCGCCTCAAAGTGCGGAAAATACGGTAAACGCGTTTTTGTGTTCAGACCTGCCACAGACATGTTTTGCTCCTCGCAGTTGGCTCTAAAACAACTGCTGTTCTGACCAACCAACCAGAGTCCAGCTAGCTGTAAGTTTGAGGCTAATTGGAAATTTCATTGGATAATTAAAAATAAATAAATAAACTCCCATTGTTAAATGTTACACAGGCCAGTACTAGTGATTCTGAAGGTCCCGTGGCAGCACTGGGAGCTTAAAATTTGATTACATGCACTTACTGGAAGCGGTGCAGCCAAGATAAACGCAAAGAAATAAAGAGAATATACTGTTGTGAAAAAAATGTATACAAATTAATTAAACAAATAATAGAATTTAGGCTGGAAAGGTAGGTCAGTGCTTCTAATGGCGATCACACCAGCAGAGAAGGCCCTTTGAAGCTCAAATACAGCATTCAACTGTTAAAAATGTTCCCACTCCTCCACTTGAACAGTTTTTCTAGCAGAGGTGCTCGGGAACATGACGGCTGTTATGTGATCGCTTTACAGCCAAATAAATGGAGGCTGAGCGGTGAACAAGGGACAAACTGGAGAATGGATATTTGTTCTTTTCATTGCAAACAGCGGTTGGACTCTATAAAAGAAATCCTCTGTGTGTCCCCCCCAGGCATTGAAGGCTACCAAGAGAGTCAGCATTTCAGACGATTTGTCTCCCACAGCTTGTTTTACCGAGCATATTTTTCGACTACAGAGAGCTACGTTTGGGAAACACTAAAATGACACCTCAGAGGAGGACACTGCAACCACTGCGGACCAGAAAATGAACTTTGAGAGAGGAGAAAAAAGGTCAATGAAGTTACCTTGTGTATTCTGTGACTGGACAAAGGTCTTAATAAGTTTGTCTGTGGCCTGTGTGTAGAGGGACAGGGCGTAGTGAAGGGACAGCAAGTCGGGGCTCTTTTCCAGGAACGTCTTCTTTAGACCAACGCCACCAGCGTGGAAATATTGCTGACAAACACAAAGGGAATAGCTGTTAACCAATGGCCCCATATTGGAGAACCTTATTATACAGTAGCTTGTGAATCTGAATCACTGAATGAAGGTGTCTCTAAAAACAATGTATGTTGATTCTTTCTGTTCAAGCAATACTGATCTTTGTATATTGTCTACATTTCAAGTGCAGCGCTGAGGCTCAAAAATTAAATGTAAAATGCAACTTCTAAAGTTGAACATCCAGGCCTTGATTTACCCAGATCCCAAATAGCAGGCGCTAAATTCCATTTTTGATGTGTTTGTGTAGTGCAACTGGCAACAGGTGCAAAATTGCCCCACACCAAACAATTGTCACATTGTGCTGAAACGAACAAGGCGCAAAGTTTGAAGGTCTTTTCATAGGTGAAATGACATGACTCCTTGTGACTGAATCCAGGATTTAATTGGACTGACCATTACTGCTTGTCTGAGTGTCTATTTTGTTATTTCTGCTCTGCGTTCAGATTGATATAGGGCAAGTGCATCATACAGGTTGAGCAGTGTAATAATAAAAGCGACTGCAGTCAATGTATTCATACCTTGATGGTGTCCAGGGCCAGTTCTATGACTGCGCACTGCTTGGGCGTTAGAGCTTTGGCCTCTTCACGAACCATGTGCTCCTGAACAAGAAGTAGTACGATTAGAGAGACTCTTGAGTTACCACAAAAAAAAAAAAACCTAAGGAAAAAGCTTTTAGCCCTGCGGCATAAACAAAGATGAGGTTTACTTGATAGATTAGATTTTCCCAATCCCACGCGTCATGTTCTTGTCTATTCTTAGCATTTTTAAAAATTATATTTACAGTTTGTAAATGTTTAGATGAGCTCCCATGTTGAACTGACTCCTGCTTCAGTTTTTGAGAAAAAATTCACACACATTCGGATTGGTATTCAGAGCTGGTCTGCTCAAGCCCACACAACCTCATCATGCTCAAGACATTCTTTTTTCTTTTTGCAACAAGAGCAGTAGCAAATGTAGCTTTTGTGTGGCTGATTTCCCACAGTAAGGTTATCAGTTTTTTGTTCTCTCGTATTCATACGCAGGCTGCCTTCCCGAATGTGTTTAGCTCAGCAGACAGCCAGCTATTCAGCAAATGAGAGGCAAAGTGTTTGTGCTTCAAGCTGGTAAGCACAGCATCACTGCCACTGTCATTCGTGTAAGTCTGCTAGCTTAATGCTAGCTATCAGTGGCGATTTATCTCGGACTGCAAGGGAAACTCAGCTTCCCCTAAAATGTCAAAGAATAAGTGATCAAATATATGAATGTAAATTTAATTGTGTGTACATGTCATTGGCTAAATATGCGCTACAACGTGCTCAACTTTTGTTCCGAATTAGCTTCTTCTTACTGATTACGACGCGACTCCCTTCTCATTCATTCCCGCAGCTTCACCGTGCTTTAAACGGTGGCGCCGAACCTCTCGAGAGTTCAGGGTAGGTTGTCCCATTGCGTTGAACGGAGACGAGTCATTGGATACAAGCTGGTTTTTGTCCCGCCCACGAACGCTCGGCGTCTCTGGGACTGGATGGCAGTGGGCGGGTACCGGACGCTTAGTTTTTCTGCATCAGATTGGATGATCTGTCTGAGCCTGTGTTACAGTTTGATTGACATCGAAATGAGCCAATCACCGATCTTTTGAGTGTAGGCATCCGTGGGAGCACTTTCAATTCTCATTCTATTCTAAATTGAACGGGAGACGACTTCTAATCCTCTTAGCGACACTCTCTTTGTTGAAAACGATAAGCGACGAATTAATCTTTTATTACTGGTTGGTTTTATTGTAGTTGCTGTAGTTGTAGGACACAAGTTAAGTTTCTGGAAAAGACGCCTTGTTAGTATGACAGGATTACAGATAATTTTCTTGAAAAGGAACGGAGAGTAGAATTCGCGTTTATATAAACGGGCACATTTTATGATGTCGGCCAAAATTGAGCTTCCCCTCCTTGACAATGTCAAGTTGACAGACCAGCATCCGACACTGCTAGCTATAATATAGAAAGGCTAACAAAATTTCATCTCTATTGAAGTAATTTACACCATCAAACGACTGGCAGTGATGCATGTAAATCCATATCCAACAATACTCACTTGCAAATATTCTCTCTGTTCTGTGGAAACAATTCAAACTGCTGGAGATTAGCTTGCGTATATCTTTCCGACTAGCTACTTGTTTGTTTATTGTTTGTGTTATTGTTTCTTGACAGGAGTCAAACACCTGTGTCATATTACTGCCCCCCTTAGGCTTAGAGAGGCAAACCAGAAGAGGCAGTGTGGCTTATAAAATGGAGCTAATTTAGTTGGTGCAGCTTATACAGCAATGCGCTCAACAGACTGAATTTTACAATATATCAACGCGGGGGCAACGTCGAAAAGAAACTTTTGGCAGCACCTTCAGCTTGGACAGTTGACCCAGTTCCTTGGCAGCGTTAAAGATGAGCTGAGTGCCCTGTGGGGAGAAACAGAGACAAGGGGAAAAGACAAGAAAGAGAATGACTGTAATGATGTGCGTCTAAAAGTGGGTGATCATGATAAAAGTACAGTACAAGGCAGCATTACACAGAAGACAGCGACATACATAAACAGTCACCTCTGTACAAAATGTCTGACTACTTTTTTTTCCTCCATGTTCCAAAGCACTTGGCTTCCCACACATAACATCCACGCACAGTGAATACGGACACACATGTATAACTGGAGATAATTAGTTATTTAACACTAGTGTGATGCACTTAATCAAAGTCCATCTTCATTCTGCTGAGTGAATAAATCACTATTTGTGCCTCACTGTACACTTTGGACAACACCAGAGTTATGATTTTGCCTTTATACACTAACACAATGGATCTGTAAGACTCGAGCGGTAGACAATCAAAGCTCCAACTACCAGGACACGTGCGTGAAAATCAATCATGACCATGCGCTGACATGCAGAGGTAGTCTGAAAATTTTGGATTAACTGGAATGTTTTTGAGAAATTTCAGAATAAAGTTCTCCCAGGGAATTAACCAAGTCCGTACTGGTCAGAATAAAACTGGGTTCACAAGACAGATGTATGACACAAAATTACAATTTCATTTGCCATAGTCACTACTGCTCATTCTTCGTTTTTTTTTTTTTAACCCACTCACACCCCTCCACTCTGCCAGTCTATCACACCAACCTGTTCAAGGCCCTCCTGATCCCCATCATCTGCCAGATTGTTCAGTACGCCCCCATGCAAGATTCTCAAGCACTTTTCTGTCTAGTGATCTTCCGTTGACGAACCTGTCTGGCCAAAACTTTCCTGCTTTGTCATTCTTCCGCTAAACCCATCGATGTGCCAGCCGACCAGCTGTTATTAAACGTCCATTCCAACTACAGCATTCACGTGGTAGGGTGTACTGTTATTAAGATTCCACACACACTCTTGTCAAAAAATTGCCTCACCCCCGTCATTAAAAATTACGCAAGTAGCCTCCAGAAATTAACTTATTCTACAAAAAACAGTAAATGCCGTACTTTGTGAAACCACTGAAAAATTACACTTCAATCACGTCCAGATGTTTACATCAAAACCACTGTGGTAGTTTATTAAAGCAAAATAATTAAAAAAAAAAGTCCAAATAACTTCTGAACCTCGTATGTCAATAAAGTGCGGCTGAAGGGTTCTGCAGGCAGTTACCATTTACTCTACTCATTTTTGGGTTTATAAACAGAGCAATGTTGCATGAAAACATAAGGACGGGTTAGAAAAAACAAATCTAAACTTCCACCACTGTTTCAATGGGGAGCTGAGGGAGAGAGACAAAGACACAGAGAAGAAGACATGGAGGAGAGAGAGACGAGACATTGATCTGAAGTGGTTTAGTCCTTACGTCGCTGTGAGAAGCGTTCTTCAGCCTCCCCTGGAAAGAGAGCATGTGGTTAATACACGGAGCACTCGCCAGTTGCTGCACTCTCATTGGCAAGATGAGGCAACATTTTGGGACGTGGTCTCATTGCCACAAGTGGCCCCTCCTGTCATTTAGCACGCTCTCCAAAGCAACCGCTGTCTGTCCATATGAACCCCCATGACACTCATACAAATGTGCTTTATTGGCTTTATTTGTTTCAACCTAAGTTTCACACGTAAAAGCATCATAGCAACTCATGTGTATCCTTTAAAAAATAAAATAAAATAAAAAAATACACTATACTTGTGTTTTGGGTGAATCTAACAAGAATACGGCTATATTTGCATAATATAATTGGAACTTTTTTCCGAGAAGCCTCCCCCAAAATATCACAAGAAAATGTTTTTTTTTTTAACATACCATACTATAACAGTTTTTTTTTGGGGGGGGTGATAGTATTTTTATACTTTTGTCGAAAAACAAACAAAAAAAATCTGACTATTCAAGTAAGATGATAACTTTTGATTGCCTATCTCAGCACGAGACAGGGAAATGCTCCACAAACTACAAATGAAGGGATGAAGCAAATTTGTTGACTACATTTTAATTCTAGATTAGATTTTGCAAATGCTTGATTTTTGTTAAAATTATTTCTTGTGGGCATAGCTGACCAGTAAACAATTTTTAAAACCCGTGGAGCATATCCACATTATATACCGTACAGAAAATGTAGACATGATAAAAATAACGTAAGATAAAGTTTGAGGTGATGATGCAGATATTACTTATTATTTATTTTTAAAACATCTTTTTATGTGAAGGCTAGTTTACCTTAAAAGGGGAGAAGCAAAACAGAATTGTTCTTCATATTAATGTAAACAATAGTTCAAGTCATGAACAAAACTTGAATTGAGGCAAATGAACTCTCCTTGGTTATTTCTCCCCTAATCCAAAAATCCTTTCCACTTCAGAATAGTCAACAGTTTAGGTTCTACTGAGATTTTAACTCGCTGGATTCAGAGTCCAGAGTGTGAACCGTTGCGCCACAGAACCGCAGATCTTATACCACAGGGGAAAGTCATTACTAGGGAAGTTCACCCCAGACATTGATCACTTTTTTTTTTCTTCTGTTGACCACAGTTGATCCATCGCCTTGATGGATTTGTGGTTTTGAACCACATCATTATTTAACACTTAACTGCTAATCTTGCCAAAATGCACCTGTGTTTATAACGTTCTTTGAATGCCCACCCTTAAGACCACCTTTACATCATCACCAAGAGCGTCATACGATCATTTTTTTGACCCACACCAAATGAACCTTTTAGAACCAAAATCGGCCTTGCTTGACAACCTCTTGGACCGTATGTGACGGTAAACACACTGTGGTTATGAGGGCAATACTGACATAAAAAGCACCGTTATTACAGTCGTCCTGGTGAACAACAGAACATGAGCAAACCTGGGACAGACCAACATGAAAGGTCTGCAGAGAGACAGACAGCACAGTATAGCGTCGTACAGTTCACTGGGAGAAGACTGCAGTGTTGAAAGAGATCAGATGCAAGCAACAAACCCACAGAGGGGGAGTTTGAGAGGGGCAACACTTCAAACAGGTGTGAAAAGGTGTGTGGGGAGGGGGCGGGGGGCATCCGAGGGATTTGACTGAGGGCATGGGGTCCCGGTGCATGAGAAGAAAGTAGGTAATACCAGGCACACGAGAGGGGTGCCACTTCCTGTGTGAGCAGCGGACTCAGGAAGAGGAGACCAAAGAAGGAAAGCACTGATTGGTTGAGATTTTTTTCTTTTCTTTTTTTTTTTTTAAAGAAAGGACAGGGAGTCTTTTACAACCAGAAATGCACCATGCGTCTGACTTCTCAAAAGACAAAGTAGGACAGAAAAGGAGACGGGGAGAAGAACAGTGTTAATTTTTCTTTTTATCTAAATTTGGTAAAATGATGACTTGATTGCAGTTAAGCACCTTTACAAACAAAATCGCTAAATCTGAAGTAAGAAAAAAAAAATCGGTTTGATATGAATAGCAATTTAAAAAGTGTAAAATAAGGATGGAATGCATTAATGAAGCTACTTCTCAATGACTTTCACACTATCCAAACGTGTGCCTCTATCGACGACGACAACAAAACAAACAAAAAAACAATTTGGTCATGACTATGATCTATTTTCCTCGTCGACTACGATCTATTTTCCGTGTCATCGTTGCTTTTTGTTCTTTTTTTTTAATTAACACTGGAAGAAAAGAGCAGACGCCAGAGAGGCTGGTGAGACGGTGAGATGCAGGGTGGGTCCAAAAAAAGACAAACTAACAAACAGGGGGGAGATCGCAGCCACACATAGAAGAAACCAACCAGAAGAAACCAATCACCGCAGACGAACAGACAGACACACACGCAGGAGCGCTGTACTTACAATCATCTGTGTAGGGAGAGCGGTGGGAGCAGGATGTAATAGTAATCACAACAACCAGAAAGAAGGGTCAGTCAAGCTGCAAAGAGCCCCACATCAATCACAAAAAAATACCATCGCAAGTCCAGGAGGGAACCAATTGACTCCGGTCTTCACGACTGGATTAAGAACCAAGCATAGAAGCGTGGAGGACTTGAATATTACTTTGTAACCACTTTTTTTTTTTTTACCGTGATATGAGGCTCTTCAAATGATAACCAAACACAAACAGAGCACACATATATGAAATAAAACAAAACAACAGGCTGCTTTCCAAAATGTATACCTTTTTTTTTTTTTTTTGGAAAGAGGACCACATCCTTTGGATAACACTGGCTGACATAGTGGAGAGCAGACCTGAGCTGGTATGCAAATGATTGATATGATGCACTCCTTTTGTGTGAAATGTGGAATATCCTGTGTGCGCGCTTGTGTGGGTTGATTGTTGTCCATGTTATTTGTTTATCGGAGACAAAAGAGCCGTCTTGAATCACAGCACTCTCCACACGTTCCGCCCCCATCTTCGTTTCCTGTCATGGCGACTTAACAACAGAAATTGTGTACGGATGTGTTTATTTCCTGTGAAAGCGGAGGCATTTTCTCGCCTTTATTCATGTCGCTGTTCCAAAGGATGACACCGACGCAGAATGTAGCAGGTAAAGAATGTTTCGCGGGGGATTCGTTCCACACTTACCCACTCTATGTGATTTTGGTTTTACAGCAAAATACTGAAATGCTCCCACATGCTTAAAATTATATTTATACTTCTTAGAATTAAATGTCCAAAAATGTATCGTCATTGGTGTGTTGTGACTCGATGAACCACGACAAAGCGCAGGAACACTGTAGTGTTATCGCTGTCAGAGAGGTAGGTATTCCGTAATACCGAGACATGACTGTGAAGTTTTACAACCTTTACAACAGTTAGTTCCCTTTTTTTTTTTTAAACATCTCACCAGATGTGTTAATGATGTTATTGAATCATGTAATTGATGTGTCAATGTGTGGATTCTGTGTTCGAGACACAGGTAGATAAATGTCTGAGCTACTGTTTAAAAGAGGTTTGTTACTCCTGTGTGTGTGTGTGGATGTGGTTTAAACTTCCATGCTTACAAGGCAAACCAATCCGTTGGGATTGGCAAGATTTATAGGTTTATACAGCCATTTTGATGTACTCGTAAATGGTGGCTTCTTGTGCGTGTCCGCAATTTGATGCACACTCACCGTTTGATCGGTGAGCGGCGGCAGGACAATCGTTTTCTCCATGGTGTTCATCACCAGCTTCCAAAGCTCCTTCAGCACGCGCTTCAACACGGTCTTCTCACAGATCTTGGCAAACAGAGTCAGGCTGATGAGACGGGGTAAGAGAGACAGAAAACAAGGATGAAAAATTGACAGAAAATAGAGACTCTTGGAGAATACGACTGTGAAAAGCAAGTTGTATTATCTATCTATCTAGTGATTGACTCACTTGCTGTCCAAGAACTCCATGATGGGTTGCAGGACGTTGTCAGCATCCTGGGCCACACTGCTGGCATTCCCGACATTCGACGTTCCTTTTACCTGCGCCAAGATGTCGCCCATCTGCTTCACATTCTCTTCGATATGAGGCTGAAAACTGTTTTAAAAAAAGTATTTGCAATGAAATTAAACAAAAGGGAAATGCGGAGTGCACTCGAGAATATGAGTGTGTGCCCCAGTACCTGACAGAGAAGACTCTACTGAGGTCATCCATGACATTGTTGAGTTTAACTTGCAAGTCCTTCAAAATGTCGCTGGCCTCAACACAGAGCTGAACACATAGAAACACAAAGCCTTTTTAGGTCACTCGCTACAAAGTCCAAAGAGTCAATATACAGTTAAATCCAAGAGTATTAAGCACAATATAGGATTTTGACTCAGTGCATAATTGTAATTGTATCGCCTATAATTGAATAATCTCGTTTTATGTTGACCAGTCAGGTCAGTTGCCCTAATTAGGAAGGAGGCATCGACGGGGAAAAAACAGGGGGACTCACATCTTTTCCACCCATGGCCTCAAACATCTTCTCCAGCTGCACTCTCAGCTGTTGGATGTTGTTGATAAGGATGCAGGGCTAGGCCAGATAAAATTAATTACTTTGTAAATGACATCATTCTGTCTCTTTCAGCGTTAAAAACTTTAAAAACAAGGCCCAGACGTGTGTTTCTCCTCTTACCACTTTGTCCATGGTGATGTAGTTGGCAAACACCTTGGAGATGATGTCAGCATATGACAGAAGTACGTTGCTGATAGTCTGGATAGTGGCACAAGAAAAAACAAACAAAAAAAAAACATCCAAAGATTTTATTTACGTTTAGTGCTGGTACATACAACAGTGGTGACCCTGGTGCACCTCAAGGCTCAGCCCTGGGGCCCTTGATGACAGAAATGTATTTTGGGGATGACTTAAGTGTGGATGACTGACCTTAGCAAATCGTTTCATATAGTGTCCAACGATCTGCGGATCTGGACACTCTAATTTCCTGATGATCTCAAAGCTCTGGTTGAGCTGGGAAAACACATCCACGACAGAACAAGAGAACAAGGCATGCTCTGATGTGACCTGGAACTGTAATAGAGAAAAGACAGATACAAAAAGTATGAATGACAAGAGGAAGGGAAATCAAATAAATATCTGTCACAAGTATACTCACGACAAAGTCATAAAAACTCATAAAGACACCTGTTTGGTTTGAAGCTGACATTTTGGGCTCATTTTGGCCATTTTCATAGGGGCCCCGCTACAAACAAAAAATTGTGTTCCATTCTGAACAGATTTGAGTCATACACACTTTTTGAGCTTTTGTGCTCGCGTATGGGCTGACCTCAGCAGCTAAGATTGATTACCCGCAATAATACAAAAAACTTTCAGAAATATGCCCGCATATAAGCAGATAGGTATAGAAATGGGAGTACCAAATTTGTAATTCAGGTCATGGCTTGAAAAGGTTCGTAAAACCCAGTTGTCTACCAGGAAATGCCACCATCTGTATAGCTGATATCACAACTGGCTGTTGTTTCATGTCTATTTTTACACATTGAACAGAGTGCTCAGGTGTCCTTCCAGGGAGTCTCGGTAATGAGGTAAGGATAGTTTTCCTGCAGTGAAATCTCTGAAATGAGGTGTTTAATTCAGGGTTCTCTTCATAAGAACCCCCTTTATAACAACTCACACAGCTATTTGAAGCGTGCAGGCACATTGCGCATTGCTGTTTCTGTGTTATTAATGCCAAGGAGTCTTTGAAATAGGAGATGGGGAAAGAGTGGGAGGAGGTGTTGCAAGGGAGGAGGAAAGTGATAGCCCAGCGGGCACTGCGACATCAATTTGATGTTAAAGATTGGTCAAGATTTTGACTACCATGATGAATAGCCCGCAGAAGCTTTGACCTCCTTTATGGTTGTAAAAAGGTCCAACCAATGGATCAATCACACGTGCAATTACTGCATCATACATTGTGCATCAATATATTCGACATCAAAACGCTGCTGCATAAAACTTGACATGACATTGAAATAATACTGGGATGATAACATACAAAAGACTTGGCAATACAATACATGCTATAAAATTGCTATTTTAAAGGTCATGTGCATGAAAAACTGCAGAGATGTCAAATCTCATACAGCGTTTTGTATTTTAAACAGAATTGGCACATGACATCAATTTGACGTGGAATATTGGATTTTTATGTGATATTGATGTTGAATTGACATCATATGCCCAAAGGGTTAGGTTGGCACCGTCTCACAGGAAATCCCACTGAACATCTGGTAAGACAAAACGTAAATAAAGCCTATTGTGTTCGCAATACAAGACGGTATCTTTCCAACTGTGCTTTTTTTTTCTTTTCTTTTTTTTCTAAAGTTTGACAACAATGTCAAAATGACATCAATTTCATTATTTGGGTGAAATTGCAAAGAAGCTTGATATTGAAGTGATATGAAAAGAACATTAAAATCATTATTTGACATCAAATGGATGTCAAAGGATTGATGTCCTGTTGATTAACACTTTTAACCAAATTATGATGACAATTTGATTTAAGTGTTTGATGTCATATTTGATGTTGAATTGACATCAGATGCCCACTGTAAGCTTTGAGCAAGCCCAAAAGAGCACATTACATTCAAACTGCCTGAACAACAACAGCAGCTCAGCAATTTGGGGGGATTTTGAAAGAAAAAAAAAAAAAGAGAGAAGAGAAGCTTTTACCCCATCTTTCTTGTCTCTCTCCAAAGCGCCGTGCAGGAAGTCCCGAGAAACTTCCTCGTTTTCATCCAGCCACTGGATCACGAAAGGCTCAAACCACCTGTAGGGAACGTTTGAATATTTATGGCAAAAATTGTAGACTTTCATTGCGGCACACTGCAGGCTCCAACTCACGCAGGATACTCAGGCACTCTGCTCTTGAAGAAAGGCAGATCTTTGCAGTACTCGTTGTAAAGCCACTTGACCTTGAAGTGCAGGTTCATGTAATCGGCACTCTTGCACAAGCGGTTTTTCTCATGTTCTGCGAAAAGAAGAACAAGCTATGAATCAAGATTTCGGTTTCTCCCAGATGTCTGCTTGCAAGTAAGCCTTGTATTCTGTGCACAACGGTAGCATATATGGACAATATTTAATTTTGTGAGTAATATTATAAATACCGCTAAATATTGCTGCCACGCTTTTAGGGGGAGAAATCCCCCTGACAACAACAAATTTTCTACCCAATTCCAACCCACTTTTTGACATATAGACTATACAGTCTTAGGAACATTACAAATATGAGGTCCCCCCAAATTGTCGTGGGGAGAAAAAAAATCCATATACTGGACTCACTGAAGTGAAAAAATTGATAGAAATCACATAAGCATGTAATTGAAGTTTTAAACACGATTGTTTTTCTTCTGCTGGAGTTCAATTCTAAACTAATCGTCTTGAAATTGCAAATGATACACAAATCAAGGTGAAAATGCGGATCATATTCATTGTCATTGGTGCTGTGCCAATGCCGGCTGGAGCTGTAGCATTACTCTAAGGAGCAGAGGCTCTACTGTGTTGACTCACCCTCCATTGCATATTTCATGTCCTGAGCAAACAAGTTCCACATCACTTCAGCGCTGATTTTACCCACATTGAGCTCCTGGGGGAATCTGGATGGGAAACAAAAGAAGAAAGTGAAAGGAAAGAAAAACAACAGATGGTGATAGAGAATTTGGTAAAGACAGACTGGTTCAGGCAGGGCGTATAGGAATTCTTGTCTTCCTCAATGATGGAGACAATAAGGGTAATGAGTTTGGACCAGAAGTCCAGGTTCTTGATGCTGGGTCCCTGTTCCTCTGGAGGCACTGCACCCTGCTTAGCCTGGATATAAATAAAGAAAGAAAGAAATAGAACTACCAGTACTGTATGCATGACTGATCAATCCAAAGAGCAAAAAGGTAGTATACGGTATTCCTGTCTTGAAAACTGAAGAACCCAAAGACATAAACAGTGTAATGGTACAATAAATGTATACAATATTCCCCAACTCCCTATTGTAATGGTTACAGCAGAAACCAGAGTGAACATAAAATACTGTACACTATTATGAAGATCTGCAGGCAGCTGCACGTGTTCTTGTTTTTCAAGGTTTTTTTTTTTTGGTGCTAAAAAAAAAAAAGAAATCCCCCACAAATAGGGAGCTCGGGGCATCATAGCGGGGTCTACTGTAAAAGCAAATTATGCATGTTCTAGATCTAAAGCCTGACATGACCTACTTATCTTGTCAAGATGATACTATAAACACCTTCTGTCCCTAACAGAAAATGTAATTGTCTTTGCTTGAAGGCCCCAAAGTACATTAAGTCAAGCGCAGTTTTAGTCCTTCACTGAGCTGCTCACCGGGTCTGTCTGGTACTCGCGGCTGTAGAGTTCATGGCAGTTGTTAAAGATGTACTCATAAGTGGAGTTGAGACAGGCTTTGACGCAGTCTTTCACCACTTGGCTCGCTCTGGGCGGAGACTGCAGCTCTTGAACCTGAGTAAACACACACACGCACACACACGTTTTAGTCCATGAACAGAAAAGGACAAAGTCTACGAAAGGAAGAGTGAGGAAGAGGTGGTACCTTCATCCTGAAGAAGGTGATACTGGTGAGGAGGTCCACTGTGGACTTGAGGTCCTGCAGCCTCTCGGGACTGCTGGCAGGGAAGTTGTTCTGCAGTCACACAAGAAGTGTACATATTTGCAATTACCTGTATATTGACCAGTGTAATTGGCGGCAGGTAAAACGAAGTATCGCCACCCACAAATAAAATAGCCCAAATTATACAGTTTACATGAGGAAATGCAATTCTCTCTCTCTCTCTCTCTCTCTCTCTCGTTGGTGACCCCAGATCTAAGCAAACGGTGGTCTAGAAAGCGACTGTATCTTACTCGATACATGGACAGGTCGATCCTCAGGGAGTTGTGAAGCTGATCAAGAAGTTTGACAAATCGTTCTTTCTGTGAATATAATAGAGCAAAACAAGCGATTATCAGTGAATTTGAAGTAAAATAGTGTGGAGACGTATGTGCCAATGAAATATAATCTTAAATGATGTGTTAGGAAATACATATTCAATGTAGACATGTTTGCAGAATTGTTGTACTTGGATTCTCTTATTAAAAATTACAGCAAAAAAATACAGCAAATACACATTCATTACGTACATTTACACTAACTGCTGTTATTAATACAAAAGTTGTTTCCAAAATTGCATTACATTAACAACACGAGAGGTGTTTTATGTAGCTAAATAAGGTTACCAAACAGAGCGACCACCTTCCGCTCCCCCACAAACATCATTATAAACATATTTGTAAAAAGTCCAAATTATATTATTTATTTGCTGATTTTGGCGCTTGCTAGTGTGCCTAAGATGGTGTCCAATGTGTCAAAAAAGTAGCATTGGTTGCATTTGAGTTCCACCACTCACCCCGAAGTTGGACGCAGCAAAGCGGTCTGAGGCAGAGACGTTGTTAGTAGCCTGGGTGGTGTGAGCGTAGTAGGCATTGATGTTGGCCAGCAGGGTGCTCATCACCGCGGGCACACCCGGGCACATATACTTAGATGACAGGCAGGCAAAGTGACTGCAAAAAATGGCAAACATATCTGCCTTTTGGAAACACTTTGATATAAATTCATTATCATTTCTATGTACGGTTATAGATGCGAACACACGTCATGGCTTGGTAGATGGACTCCACTCCGTAACGCATTGCAAACTCATCCACTATTTCCTGAGGCGTCTCCTCGTAGTACACTTTCCACGCATCATCTCCTTTGGCATCGGGGATCTTCACCACACCCGTGTTCTGGATGTCAGTCACAAAGTGGAAGAGGTTCTGCAGGAAAAAAAATAAAATAGATTGCGAGAGGAGTCGAGGAAAAGATCACATGCACGTGTATTAGTTTGAAATCTTTCATTTATATTATCTAACCTGCCTTTTTTTTTAATGAATAACTGCACACAGTGATCCTTTTTCAGTAATGTACTGAACTTGTATGAAAGTGGACTGAACTTGAATACACATTAAAAAAAACAAACTCTTAGCCGAACGGATAGAACGTTAGGTGTCAAATCAGCTTAAGCAGAAATGGTCTCGTGTGAGTAAACCCAAAGTCAATCTTTCCCAAACTTGAGTGGGCCATCAAGTGGAGTTAAACATTACAATTTACAAAGACAATATTTAACCTATTGGAGAAAACACTTATATTTGTATTTTCACGACACTTTCTTAGACAATTCCTGCTCCAAAAGGTAATCAATGGTTGTAATGATTGCTTTGTAAGATGCATTGTATAACAGTTGCCAGGCAACATAAATAAGCAAACTCCAGGTGGGAACACAGCGCATCATCTTGACTGTAAGGCCATAAAGAAATACGCTGCATTAAAAAAAAAAGTTGGAGCGTGAGAGCCATTTCAGTTTTTTTTTCAGCTGCCTAAGCATTTTACACAGAATCCAGCAAAGCGGGATATTGCCACAAACTGTGTGCACTTACACAGTAATCAGTCAGGGGCTAAATTTCCATCTTACGTAAAATTAAAAAAAAATTGTGAGTATGACCTAACATGCAACAAGTAATAATGTTTGAAATATGGAGGCCTTGTCCCGTTTTAAATCAAATTTCGGCCCTGTAAAAATAGACAAAAACTTACTTCATGCAAACAAGTGTATTGAACGTGATAGGGGGCGACCGTCTCTTCGCCCTTAATCTCCACATTGATGTGCATGCGGATTGCCCCTGAAACGGCTGATTTGTCTGTACGCTTGTCTGAGGAGAGCACAGAGACAAACAGAAACGCATTAAAAATAAGTCAGCTTAGACTACCGAAGGACATCACAAAGCTGTAAAACTAACCCAGGTTGTACCATACGTCCATCTCTCCACTCAGAGTGCGGACCTCGATGATGGTTTGCCCGAGGAAGTCGTCGGACTCCCGTTTGAACTTCTGCTTTACGCGGGACTTGATGTCATCATCCTCATCCCACACTCGCACCTTGATACGATCCGAGGAGTTGTGGCATTCACTACAGAGACACCACAGGAGTAACACTGAACATACAGTAAAGGATCCGGAAAACAGGCCCAACTTTTTCCACATTTTGTTTTAATACAGCCTTTTTCCAAACTGGATTAAAATAATTTTCTTCTTCAAAATTATACGCACAAAGTAGAACAAACACTCACAAATTGAAGGTTTCCTCCCAGACAGGATTGAGGTTGCCATAGATGGTTTTGGTCCTCTTTTTGGTCTTTCCCACCTGGACGGTGACGTAGGGATCACTGGAGCCGGTTTTATCCTTGGCTTGTAAACCTTGTGCACATAACACTGGGAAAAGGGAATTAAAAAAAAAACACACACAGACCAAGTCAGTGTATTTTGTGAGTGCAATGACCAATCTCGAGTCCCACTCACCCGTGATGCTGATCTTGGCCGACCATTTGGAGGTGCCGTCGAGCACGCTCTGTTTGATCTGCTTCATCTGGGTGCCGTGCGTGGCCTTGGGGACGGAGAAGACCTCTTGAATGAGTTCGAAGATCTCCGGTTTGTTCCTCTCACGGATCTTCATGCGATCTTTGAGGACCATGATGATGTTCTGAGTGCGGTCCTCTGCGCCATGTTTGGAGCTCTTCTCCGCCGCTCCTGGATGACAGTAAAAAGAATGAAATATTTAGCGAAAGGTGGATATCAACCTACTTAATCTAATGAAATTCAATACAAGAAAGCTAAGTGGGATGAAAATTCTGCCTGTACAAAGATAACTAGAACTCACATAAATATAATACTTATGAAATAACAGAAACACTTCATTCACTGTGTCACTCAAAGGTGAGCTGTATCAATCCATGATCGAATTTTTGATACAGCTCTTGCAAAAGATTTTATTCGGCTGCAACAGTAGGTATACCTAACATTATGACCGGTAAGTGCACGTCGCCATTACACTGTAGGAGTAAAAGTGAGCAAAAAGAGGAAACATAGGGATTGAAAGCATATTTCTGAGGAGGAGCAGTGGATGCCAACAAAAGATGAATAGCTTTTAATATCCTCTCAAGGAAGAAAAACAATGACATTTAAAAAGTCAATGTTATGAAATGGGTTAGAACAGACACTATGGCAGCATAATTCACAGGGGACTTTGTTGGTAGTTCTGAATATTTAATAACGGTGCCTGTGATTTATCATCTCTTACTTTGCAGACAATCGGCGTTGAGCAGATCCTGGCACTTCTCGTGACATTTGACGCCACACTCAGTGCAGCGCATGCCCTGGCGTGCGATACCCCAAAGCAGCCCCTCGCACTCGTAGCAGTAAGTGGGCGTGGTGGCGGTCCACACCTCGAAATTGTGCGGCGTGGTGCAGGAGATGGGATAGATGAGGGCCTGCAGGGTTTTCTTGTAGACATGACTCTTCTACAATAATATAGGAGACACATGGTCATGGCAGATTTAAGAGGAGCCTTTTTACCGGTTGTCAATGTCACCAAGGAATTGGCAATAATAATAGTGAAATGTACACTGGCTACGTTTAGCCTCAAGATATAAAATGATATGTATCGTTTTTGTTCCATATTTCCTACATGCAAAATTGCTTTGAAGTACAAACAAGAGGTTACTCTGTATTTCCATTTAATTGATAAGACTGACCAGCTCTTCATTATGCAAGGTGCTGGATGTCAGGGCTGAGGTGATGCCTGCCTTCCTGGAGTTCTGGACCAGTGACTGATTAACAGGAGAGAAAGTAGACAGGTAACCAAACTGTGATTATTGATCTAGTACTGCATTTAATTTATGAGAAAAACAGTTTTGTTACTCACCATAGCCTGTGGGATTTATATGATGGTGGGGACAAAAGGGGACAATAAGGACACAATTTAAAAAAATGAGTACATTAATATATTCCTGAACAAGATGGAATGTCGATGATACAACAGGATTGACTTCATGGTTACCTATAAACTTTATGTCACTTATGTGGCTTGTACCTACAGTATGCAACATTCCTTTTGTTTCTGGCTGTGGTTGCTACGTTTGTGACTCTTAGTATTATATAGTGTGATAATTATCTGTGCGTCCAACAACACAGCAGGTGTCCTTGGTTTTTGGCTTGGACATGACAGTCAGTTCTGTGTGGTTCCCTTGCAAACCTCCCTGTGTGGACGTTCACACAGGGAGCTTCCAAGTCACACCCACACTTGATGGGCAGACAGGCACTCTGTAACCCCAAATGTGTGTAAACAAGCAATTCAAAAGTCAGTTTACATGTCCACTTTTACGTGGTGCCTAAGTCAAGGAGGGAATGGAAAGGGCAGAAAGCCAAGACGCCACACTGCAGATGGAATACGATAAAGAAGAGCACAGCCTGTCTGCTGAAGCTGAGTAATTTATGGACAGTGGAGAATTTAAAGTGATTAAATCTACCAGATCTCTGACGAGAGGCATCGCTTTCCTCTTCCTGAGGTCTGGCATGCTGTCGATACTGTAAAGAGCACCGCCCATCCTGAAGAGAAAGCACGCGCATATATCAAGGATGAGAACTTACTCAGCTATAGATGTGATGCGTCATGGTAGCCAATACTTACCCCGCTGATAACAGCAAAGAGGCAATGCCGACACTCTCGCCTCGGGCCTGTGGAGAACACAAAAGGATGAACGTGGGGGAAAAAACAGGTGGTGCAGGACCTCGCCAGGTGCCATTAGAGCAATTGCTAAAAAAATAAGATTATCATGGCATGGCATAATTGGTATTTTCATATTGCAAAAAGCATGGATCCACCTAAAATACTGAATCAACTTTGGCAGCTTACAAAACTAAACTCACTCCAGTGCTGAGAGTTGATACTGTTGGTGTTGATATCATTCTCAACTGCTTTTGTACAGAAGTGAATGTGAACAGCAGCAATAGTCATTAGCATTGTCCTGTATATAGCAAATAAAAATGTATCAAAAAGTATGATAGTATCGCTTCTGTTTACACCAACTTTTGTATAGTACTCATACCATAATATTCTCTATTGTGTATATCGTGTTATAGAATCTATGATGATGTGTATTTTAGATTTATAGACTGCTGCCCCTCACCATCTTTCCTTGTATTGGTGTTTCAACATATCAATGAAGTGTTCAAGTCAAATTAAAAATAAATTATGCGGATTAACACACAACACCCACCTGAGAGTCTGCTCCAGCCAGAGGGAGGAATCAGAATGGACTACATGCAAATCGCTATGTGAGTGTGGCAAACCACTGAAAAGAAAGCAATGAAATGGCAAAACAAGCACGGGGTAAACAGAAACTACTGAATAAAACACAAGACAATATAATCCAAAGAAACATTGCAATGTTCCACAAAAGCTGGTAAAACAAACAAACAACAACAAAAAAAAACAATCATGCAGGAATAGATGCAGCAACTTATAAACGAATTCACGACTGTAACAATTCACATATTGCCAACACAAATATACAGTCAATGTGTACCTCTTGTAACTGCAGTCGTACTCTGCTGAACAATCGGAGCCAGTTGGCTTTGGCTCTGGCAGGACCGGGTTCCATGAGTTCCCTCTTTGGGAAGCTGGTGATGTGCAAGAAGATGCAATTAACTACGGATGTGCAATATCCCTTTGTGTAAATTCATCAATACCAATAAAACAGCTGCCAAAACGAATATATGAAGCCAGCGCCTTTCGATTACACAATGAATCCATATTCAAGCATAGCAAACGCATCAATGTGAGAAAAAAAAGTTGAGTTTTGTACTGTCCACTTTATTTTTGTTTTGTGATGTAATGGTTAACTTCTTAACCTCTGCTCTTCACACGTGCATGTTACCAAAAAAAAACATCACCATGTTTAAGAATAGAGTTTATGGTAGCTTGCGACAGTTTGCAGTTAGAATAAACAAATTCCCTACGAGAAAATTTGTTTTGATATGAGAACAACTTCAACTAGCGTCAGATTGTGTTCAGCTTTGGAGGTTTACTCATACTGAACTATACCTCCTCGTCTGCATAGAGAGAACTTGCCTGGGTACAGAAGGCTCCTCAGTTTTCTCCTCAGTGGGTGGGGGGATGCTCTCCCCAGCCGGAAGTAGTTCCGGTGGCGGGAGCTCCTCTAGAGGCACCTCGGACTTTGGCTCAGGTTCCTGGAACTTGGCATCAGATCCTGGAATCTGTGATGTAATGGTGGTGGTGGTGGGTGTGCTGTTGATGGGAGTGGCAGTGGTGGTAAATAAGTCTTGCTGGGCGGCTGCAAAGGGAACGTTGGCGGAGTCAGATGTGAAAGGGGGCAAAATGTCATCCTGTTTGAGAGGAGGGAGGACCGGGGTGGTACTTAAGGGTTGGAGCTGATCGGAAGGCTGCTGCTGATGTAAAGAGGTTTGCTTTTCCAGTGGAGGTCTGCTGGTGGACACGCTATCAGATGGGGGAGCTAGGGTGGCAACAGTGCTCGTAGGGATGTAAGGGGGCTCCTGCTCCTCACTAAGAGCGCCAGCCATTGGATAGATATCTTCGTCTTCCTCGTACGGCATCTCCTCCTCATCTTCATAGTTGTACGCTCCTTCCTCCTCGTACATCTCGCCCTCCTCGTCGCCATAGAGCGCTCGGTCTTCACCGCCGTCTTTGACATAGCTCCCCTCGTCACTGTAGACGCCCTGCTGGTCATCCCCATCCCAGCCAGGGAAGTCCTCCTTGCCGTAACTAATAGACGAGTGGCAGGAGTGGTACGAGTCGTTTTCGTCGTAGAACTCTGAGCCGCGCAAGCTCTCGCCATCTTCAGGAATGAACTCCTCGCTGAGCTGGGAACTGCCTGGGCTTAGCTCGCCCGACGAAGCATAGCGGCTGTCTGTTGGACTGAGGGAGAAAAGTGGGAAAACACAAACCTAGCTGTGATATCAACGCATCCATTGAAGAGCAGAAGCAGTATCCAGGACTAGCAGGGCTTGACGTGTTGGTTAGTGGGACATTTAAGGGAGTCGTGTTGAGGTTGAGACTACAGAGGGACACGGCTAGCTACTTGTGGGAGAGGAGTGACTTTCAACCAACCAGCAAGCTTGAGAGTGGATGTTGGAGGTGGGAGTTGTTAAGACTTGTGATGCATCTACGGCCTTGTTCATATTGCAGGATAATCCTATTTCTTAACCAAAATCCAATCCTGCTGCTGCACTAATGTCATTTGTAAGTGATCAAAATGGAGTCGTTGCATCCACAGTGCTCTCAACTCAATTCAACTGTATTTATAGAGCACTTTCAAACAGCCATCGCTGCATACAAAATGCTGTACATGGAGCAACTAACATATATACAACAATAAAGCTATAAATCTGGACTGAGCGATCATAGAACTAGCATAGGTTGCAGCGCCATGTAGCCACATGTCTACTATGCAAATTAATACAGTGTAGCTCAAACTCTGGCTAGAAAACATCTCTCATTCGTAGGTGGTTTTTCTTCTTTGGTATTATTTTCATAAAGAAATGGGTATTTGTGGCGGCGTGGGAGTGAAAACAGCAGACTTGATTCCCGGCCAATCCAAGCTCCTCCCCTCATTTACATGGTCGAAGCATAACAGACTCACTGTGGTCTATGAAGGCGATTGTTGCACGCAAATTACGTTTATAAATTTCTGCGAGAGGATCTCCACTTGCTGGCCTCTGCGAAGTGGGCGCTTGGAGTCTGCCTTCCACCCCTAATCGTGCATCTGTTTGTGACAACCCCGTGTTAGACCACCTGTGCCACAAATTAGACCGCCTAGCCCACTATCTATCAACAAATTGTCATTTGGATGTGTAATAGAAAATGCCAACAGTCTGCCAAAATGCCCAACGAGGCGCAGCGTGGTCCTCCAATTTCCCAAGTACAGTAAACCAGACTTGCCCCGGCACAAAAATGAATATTTTTACAATGAGTACATGTTCCCCTCTTTCCGAAAATAGGGACCATCATGTTTCATTATATCCTTTGGCAGTACGTAAAAAGGAATCAAGTGAGCAAAGCAGTGCAGAATTAAAAAAAAAAAAAAAAAAAAACAGCTAGGCAAAACCAACTTTCAGCTGAGTGGAAGCAGTAGAAAACATAAAACAGCTCGATTGGGCAAAGAGCCTAACTTTGTTGTCATGATACTGTTTTCCAACCACCTACAGTAATAATGACCGGAAAAAGGGATTCAAAATATTTTTTTCCCCTCAGTCTTTGTGACATTGGTCAAAGACAGTTGGTGGGTTGAGTTTGTTCCATCACCTGTTTTCTTAGCAGGGTTATTATAATGAAACATAGGATTTGCATTGTATTTGCAATTTAATCCAGAGGACACACACGATATCGGTTAAAAACCCTACGCTCTCAAATTTTGCAGCCATTGAGCGGAGGTGGCAAGTCCCAAGTCTTGGAGAGGTCTGACACAAACACGTGCTTTGATGCATGGACGCACACACGTGCCTTATTCTATTGCCTGTATTGATTCTTGTAATGTTGGTCCAATGATATACTTTGGAGGTTGCACTGAAGAGAGGGGTAGTGCTTGGGTTTTTAGTGTGAGCGTGCATGAATGGACAAATCAACATGGACCTGTGCTCCCTTTTTTTTTTTTTAAGTTGCACAATTGCTCACTCGTGGCAAATGCTTAACGTGTGACTGACTGAATCAATTGCATGGAAAATAGGGTTACAGTCAAACCTCGGTTTTCGTCCATAATCCGTTCCAGAAGGCTGTTCGAAAACCAAAATTGTTCGAAAACCGAAACCACGCTCTTTTTAAAATAAAAATGTTTACTGAATACGTCTGCTCACAACGGAAAGCAACACGAGGAAGCGTCACTTCCTCGTTGTGAGGAAGGCGAGAGGAGTCAAATGGTGCATTCAAGTGCGCTCAGTTCGTTCGAAAACCGAAATTTGTTCGTCATCCGAGGCAGAAAAAAACTCGAAATTTTTGGTCGAAAACCGAATTGGTTGAGAACCGAGGTGTTCGAAAACCGAGGTTTGACTGTATTTCTGTTTGATAAACACAAGGTGTTAGGTTAATCCGACTATGGATTGGCATAATAATTGATCATTTGGAATTCTCACAATGGGGTAGAACTGATTGCGCGAACCATTGATGATAAAATTGTCCATTTCTTCTGCAAGTTATTGATTGGTTTCTTAGAATATTGATGAGGTAATTTTAAGTGCCATCCATGCCATACTGACAGGATTTGGTTTGACGCCCAGTCAGCCTTTATTGACTTAAATTCTACAAGTACAATTTTGAATTCTTTAACAGTGTCGTTATTCTAAACACAATTTAGTAAAATTAGCAGCCCACCCAGGTACTACACTGCACCACATTATGGCGAATAGCCAAGTGATTTGAAGATACAGTAGATGCAGGACCAGCATTATTCATGATTTTTTTTCTTGTATACATATACAGAGAGATAGGGTAAAAGAGCGCATGCATGCAAGCACAGTGAGCGAGGAGGACGGGACAAGTCCACCACTGACGACACAGCGAGACTGAGTCACAGGCTGGAGCAGGAGGAAGAGGAGGAGCTCAGAGGAGGTACAGAGACCCACCTATCGGACAGCGAATGCCTACTGTCTAGAGAATACTGACGACTGGTGCGCCGGCTCGAGCCTGAGCCTGAGTCGATATCGCTGCGCCCGTTGGTGGCCAAATCTAAACTATCATAGGGTCTGGTAAGAGGAGCAGGGAAAGGGGAGTGGGGAGAGGTGGGAGAGGAGCATCAGTAGAGCTCAATTTAGGCAAGGAAACCACATCGGATTCATTAAAAAGGCTCCTCACTCACTCACTCACTCACTGACTCACTCACTCACTCACTCACTCACTCACTCACTCACTCACACACACACAAAAGACAACCACACGTTCATACGCAACCTGTATACAAGAGCAGTGCGCCGCGCCCCAGCGTACTTGTATACACTGAAGCCAGGCTTATTCTCTGAGGGAGGAAGAGCACAGTGGGGAAAGCATGTAGAACAACGTGGAACAAAACATGGCCGCCCGACCCAAGTTGTTTTAGGGGGAGGGGGTGGTGTTACAATCTGAGACTTCAAAGTGACGTATTCATAAAAGAATATTCTGCTGTTTTTTTTTTTTTGTTGTGATTTTAGACATTAACAGCATGGCATGTTCGTCCTGTTTTCCAACAAAGCACACATTCATCGGACATTATATTAGATACCCAAAGACAGCCTACTGTTGCTGTATGAAATAGTCTCGTTCGAGATGGAGAGCCATTCATTGAACGTGTTTGAAATGTTTTTGTAGTTTGCACTGTATCAAATGTAATGTAGCAAAATTAGGCAACCAAATTACAGTGGTGCGGTGAGAGGCGGGTTTAATTCATTAAACTAGCACAAGGGTGCCCAACCAGTCGATCACGGTCGACCGGTACTGCGTGGACTCGTCTCGTGTCGATCGCAAGAGGTGTAAAGATTTGTGTGGGTTAATATTCTATATTTTTGTGTTAGTGTACACTGCACCCTAAGCAGCTTTACTTTCACAAAAAAGTATTAAAAAACTTTAAAAAGCAAGTCACCTTTAACCTATGGTGGTGCATGACCTGCATCATCGGAATTTGTGAGCGGTGAGCAGCCTGTAATTGCAGCTTGTGATCAGAGCTGTTGCGATATTTTTAAAAAAAATATTTTTATTCTCATTCAAAGTTTGTTTCATCTGCAATTCACCAATGACACTGGCAAAGAATGGGAATCTAGAGTGCCGGGAGAAGCATTTTAAATCGGCACACATGAGCTACGACAGTGGTGTTCATGCACTTAATACGCTGTAAAGGTGTCAGGTCTCTACTAAGGGAGGCAGTGATTTCCTTTTCACAAACTCACAAATTATTGTATCTACTTTATTTTTCTGTTTTGTTCATTTTAGATATGCATCGATGCGTGCGTGTGTGTATATGCTAGCACTTGCGGTACCGGCTCGATTGCGGGAGGTTGGCTATTTGAAAAGTAGACCTTTGGTCGAAAAACGTTGGGCACCACTGCATTAGCACATTCGTAACTTAGCACAGCCGTAACTAAAATCATCCATCCCCATGCAGTCTGCTTGCAGTGGGGCCACTGAGGCACTAGATCCAGCAGATGGAGCGGTGATGGGAAAACAAAACACTGCAGGACCGCAGCGAAAGAGTTTCGCCTGCAGTTTTCAATCAAATGAATGTGCACGACATTGAGGATTGTTTGGCCTTGGCGGTGGACTGTGCTCTATTGAGTGGTAGTCTAGAATAGACAATAATGGAATGTCTCCATGGTCTGTGCAAGAAGTACATGGAAATTAAAAGTGCTTCATCTTGTATGGTGCATTTACAAATACAATCGTGGCTATAGACCTTGCATTAGATCTCATTAGACTGTGTGGGTGTATCTAATGAGAAGATTCTCTTTGTGAATTAGCTTTGCCGATAATCTCCATGGCAACCTGCAGGCTGCACGGAAGTCACTCGGTTTAATTCGAGCAAACGGCGGTGATGATGACAGTGATGCGCTACCTCATGTCCCCGCGGTCATAGTCCATGTCGGGGATGTCGTCATCATACGGGTGTCTGTAGTGCTGCTGCCTTATGGGATATTGGTGCATGGAGGCATTGGGCTGAGATGTGGTATAAAAGGGAGGCGGGATGCTGTTACTCGTCTCGCTGCGGTAGTCGCTGTCCCTGTCGTCCACGGCACTGTCCGGGTCGTCATCTGTTCACACAAACACAACATATAGACATTTGTGGACAGGAAAAACCGCAAAGGTCTTTTGAGCAGTTGTAGAGGAGCAAAGGGCTACTGGGGAAATTGCACAATGAGATCATTATTTCCAGCTCAGACGGGGACAGTCAATACAGATTTATGAGCATAGATGCATCAAAGACTTACTTTGCTGATCTCCCCACAGACTCCAATTACCTGCAAAAGAGATAAAGGGATGCAAAAAGCACATCGGGATCAGAAACAAAGTACGTGAGCAGTCCAGAAATATAAAACAGGAAGGCTATTGCAGAGGGTTGAAGACTCTTGGGCTTGCCCCCAACTTAACCTTTGCAGGGACAGCGGTTAGTTACTACAGTGGACGGCTTATCATGTTATCAGGTTACAGGGTTCATGAAAGGGTTCAGAAGTAGTTTCAAGTTGATTTCATGCTCCATGTTTGTGCCATCTTCATTTTTCATGACAGTGTGACAACTGAATGATAAAGACATCTACACATGGGACTACACACTTCATTGTCAATTCACACCGGGCGGTCGCACTATGTCTTCTCTCAGTTTATCATCCGCCTCCCTTAAGCCTTATTACCATTTCCTACCCAATTTCAACCTCTTGTCTAGTTGCTAAATGAGCCTGGGAGGAGGGAGTGCAGCGGCATAAAAACGAGACATCATGACATGCCATGAGAGGCGTTTGATGCAGAGCAAGTGGATGGTAGATTTACACTTACAGCACTGTGTGGACGGTGCCTGGAGAGGCCTCTCTTGTTCCTCTTGATAGGCATACTTAGAATGTAAATCCAAAAACAAAAAAAAAAGCAAAAGATAGATAATAGAGTTATACTCAAAACTTAACAAATACTCATTATGTGCATGAATGTTACATGAATTTTGGGGTTTCAATTATTTATTTGACCTGTTATTGCAGGGTGGAATGATAGATTTTCTGTACTGTACACGGGTTCACAATAACACTCAAATGCTAACATATAACCTGCAGAGATTTATAAAAATAAAGGATCGCATTGCTAAATCACTCTTGATAATAATTGTGAGAAATCATTACCATGTTAATTATCAATAACATAATTTAAGGTACCGGTAATCTTAGCAAATGTGTTACTTCAGAAGTGTCTATCAAACTGGTGGCGTTTTCTTTCAGTCCCCAAAGAGGAGATCTGCGTTTCAAAAAGTTTGGCAATCTGATCTGACTGGACCCTGAGTAAATGCCATGACATACCTGGTGCATCATTAGTGTTCTGGCTTTTAATCATTTTGCAGAAGAATGGTTTAAGAACTAATAAGCACTGAAACCACATTTAGTTCTGTGATCCAGTGAGATTTTTTTTTTTTAAAACATTGAGTAGCAGCTTTTATGCAAATGTTCTCCCTTCGGAGATTCACCCATATAAGAAATGGACAGGCAGAGAAAAATAGATACAGTGCAGACACACAGTGAAGTTCTTACATCTTGGTCTCTCATGGCATTGAGTTGTTCAAGTTTCTTGGCCCAGTATCGTGCCTCATCTTCTGGAATGTCTGCAGTGAATGTAACATTGGCAAGGGTACTCTTGATTTGATCTTAATGATAAATGATTCTCAAACAATTTCTAATGAAGACCTAAGTTGACAACATCAAGTCAAACCTAGTGGCAGTTCGAAGCGTGTGTCCAGCAGCAACCTGTGAAAGGTTGGATCTTTGGTGCCACAGATTTCATTCTCGGCCATGATCACATTGGAGTCCAGTGTTAACCACTGACCCGGACCCTCCTGGGAATTAAAGACGAGCAATGCAAAACACAAATTATCAATCAGTGGAGATAATGTGTCAGTTTGTCCTGCGTAATATTATGTGAGGATGTAAATTATTATATGCCACATACCTCATTGGATTGCCGGATGCTACTCAGTGGGATCCATAAGGTACCCACCATGGTGTCCCAGATCAGGCCTTTATTCCACACCTCCACTGTTAGGCCGAGGTCCAGTCGATTTATCTCGCTATGAGTCAGGGACAGGAGGTTGGAGAAGGGTGAAAAAGGACAGATCATAAAATCGATGAAAAAAAAATAAATAAATTTTAGATTTGAGATGTATGTATGTATGTATGTATGTATGCCCCTTGTGGTTCTGAGTTTATTTTTTAATTTGTCACACAATTCAGCCTAAGTGCCTGCTCTTTAACGCTGTTGATGGATAAACACTGATTGAATCTGCTGACGGAGATCATGCGTTGGAAAAAGACATGCTGCTTGTCAAGTAGCCTGCCAGCGTATATACAGGATACAAAAGTGCAAGCACGCACTATGCAGTTTCTTCATGACTAACTACAGTGAATTATGTGGCTCGCTTCCATCTTACAGACAGCAAAGACAAAATTGTTAATACAAATATGCCTCATGTGGTGAGTAATATACTGTACAGGCAGTGGCGGTTAGCTCAAAGACATGGTAAAACACAGATGTCAAAGTCAAGGCCCCAAAATAATACAACCAGGTAAGCAGATATTTGGAATTGCCCCCCAAAAACCCAAACAAAACAAAACCAACCAACCAAAAAAAAAAAAAAAAAAAAAAACATCTCCCTTAATATCTCTCATCAACAAGCAGGCAAGCCTCTCTAGGCTCAGGCACACAGTCTTAACTGATTCAAATCCGAATAATAGCCGCAGCCTTGATATGAAAATTCATCTCCGTTTCCTTGGAAGCCGAGAATATAATCTAGCAAATGGCAGCATGTTGTGCCGCCTCATAAAAGGAGGAAAAATGATGAAAGGAAATGAGCGGGAGATGGTGAGGCAAAGGACACAGTCAGGTATTTACAGAGAAAGAGCTCATTAGCTGTGCTGTAATTTTCATTTACTCAAACTCCTCGGATGTGCCAACTGTTTGGGGATTTGGAATTTTCTAAATCCATACCCCGCTTTTTATATTTACTGGAGTTACAGCACACAAGGACGAGACAACAAGGAGAACCATTCAATGAAAACGGGGGAGGCCAGAAGAGGAGTTAGGTGCTCTCTCATATGTGTTCCAGTTAAGCGGTGAGCAGCAGAGCCTTAAGGGAGAACTGACTGATTCCAAAATAAAGTGCCTTACAAAAATGCAGCAGAGATTACATTTTAGAATCTTAAAATGTTGCCTGAAACATTGCCTGTACAGTTAATAAAGGTTTGTGCTACTGAATTAAATGAATACAGGGCCGCCGCACACTGCGTGACGGTTTCGAATTCGACTGGGATCCGACCACCAACACTTGGCCACTCTACACCACACGTTGGGCGATTTAGTGTAAGGAACGACCCATACAAACAATTAAAAAAAATAATTATAAATATATAACTGACTTTCATCAAGCTATCTGGAGTCACTGTAGCGCAGTGCTAAGCAGACATCGTTGGCTATAACTCCAAAGTGATCCTTCAGTTATCATGTCATGCTCATAACTTGGAGTTTTTTCCACAGCTCTTTTCGCCATGTTGATGAGTCACGACTGGCTAAATCACAAAAGGAGCAACTGCCCAGCAAGACAAAACGCCTCCCACCCACTCGTCTCATTCTTCCAGTCATTACTCAAAAGCTTCTGAACACGCAGGAGCAGCTGAGCACAAAGAAACGACAAAAGTTGCCCTAAGACTGATGCTATATTGCGGAACCTCTTGTTGTGAGATTGAAAGGATTGAAAATTTTTGGGGGCGGGTAGAGGAGTCCATTTGAAGGCTTTATTTGAAAGAATTCCCCAGCACTTGTATTGCAGCTCATCAGATTGTGCTGGTAACCCTAATAAAGAGTCCATTGAGTGTATAAAAATATAGGTAAGATGATTTTTAAAAAGCTGAGGAAGTCAAAGGGGGCAGATGACAAATAAGTTAAAATGCCACAGCTGAGCCTGCCCACTGAGGCCTGCAGGGTGACATTTGTGTTCATGTGATCTATAGCACCCTCACTTAATCTTGTTAACAGTTGCCTATATCTGCCATTTGGTGTTAAAGCTCTCTATATTTTACAACTTCCATATCTAACACCAAAGAAAACGCGGAAGTGTATGAACTAAAAAGCCACTGAATAAAATGCTGACACCTATGTGATTGATCCTGATATGAAACCAGCCCCAAAATAAATTGCTCCATGTCCCCACATGACACAAACATGTGGCTCAGTAAACCGCATGCAGGTGGCAAGATTATGTTCCGCAAGAAGAGAGGATAAACTGCAATAACGATAAAGCTTTTCAAAAAAGAGAGAGTGACTCACAACATGAAGTCCTGCTCCCAGCACGGCTGACTGCCGCGCACGGCGATGGTGGTGCTCTTGACATTCTGCACCTTTAGCGTCACGTAAGTGTTGAATTTTTCTGCAGGATGCGCAACAATGTTACAGATAAATATCCGAAATTCATACAATTGCGGCAAACCAGCTGAAGTCCTGTGAGGAAAAATCTTACCTTGGGGTCCATCGAGCTTGGCTTTTTTCACTGCAAAGACACAAAAAACAAACATCAAACAGTGCGCATGTGCAAATAATAAATATTGTCTTTGGATTCATCTAGAATGCAATGTACTTCAGCTTCCAGTGCCCCAAAAGTGGTACAGTTTGGAGCGCAACATTTTTCTGGAAAAAAAATGCCTCAAAGGTCAAACATACTTCAACCAATCTTGTGGGAGGACAGCTTATTGAGCATCTAAAACAGTCGGGTCCAATACAATGTGTCGATCGTGATCGACACATTGTACCCCGCAGAATGGACCATAGCGAGGGGTGCAGGGGGACATGGGTAAAAAAAAAATAAAAAAAAATACCGATATAT